AAAGGAGAGGGAGAGAGAGATAGAAACATCAATGATGAGAGAGAATAATTGATTGGCTGCCTCCTGAGGTGCCTCCACTGGGGATCAAGCCCACAACCCGGGCATGTGCCCTTCACCGGAATCCAACCCGGGACCCTTCAATCTGCAGAGTGTCGTTCTATCCACTGAGCTGAACCAGCTAGGGCAGGACTCCTTAATTTAAAGGAGGTTGTCTGTGTTGCACCCTCCCCCTGTTGGGGGCATGAATCTATTTTCTCACGTAGGAACATTATATGGTTAGCTCTTGCATTTCTTCAGTTCTAAATTTATTCCATTTGTATTTTAAAGGACTGAAATCCTTCAAAAGGAAACAGTGCATTTATTTCTACAGTATAACAGTGTGTTTGGATGTGCTAACTTTATAACATTACCCGGGAACAGAGCTCAAAACTCATGAATAACCTGTCAGCCAAGCGTTTGCCTGAAAGATAGTTTCCCATCCTGTGCGTGCACACTCAGAAAAACATTAACAACCATTTCCTTTATCTGGTACTGTTCTAGGACCTATAGATGATGGTGATGAACTAAAAAAAAAAAGTTATTGCTACCTTTGAGCTAGCAATTTTTTCTTTTTCTCTTTTTTCCCTTTCTCCCTCCCTTTCTCCTCCCTCTCTGGCTTCCTAGCTTTGGCTGCCAGCAATTTTTTGAAAGGTAGATTTCATGCATATAGCAGTTTTACCCTTCAGCAAGTATAATCAGGGACATATACACTTGTGTTAGTTGAAAAGGATATACTAGTATAGTAAAATGAACAAAGTATCCTGATAATTTCTTGTTCAGATTGCATTTTATTTGGAGGAGGGAGGGATTCATTTTACTGGTACACACATAAAATAGAGTATGGGTACTTTTTAAAAAAATGTTCATGTCTTACCTTCTACCCAGATGATAAATTCCTTGATATAGTTTATAGATGATGGTATATTTCCCAGAACATAGCAAAAAAGAAATGAATTATGTGTAGAATTGAAAGATGGATGAATGAGCTATTGGACTAATGAAGATTATTTTTGTCACTGAAAGAATGGAGCTGCTGGAAAGAAAGTCTAATGATCGGTATTCTTTTTTTGTCCCTCTTTTTAATTTTTTAAAGTTATTTTTTTTGCCGAAACCGGTTTGGCTCAGTGGTTAGAGCGTCGGCCTGCGGACTGAAAGGTCCCAGGTTCGATTCCGGTCAGGGGCATGTGCCTGGGTAGCGGGCACATCCCCAGTAGGAGATGTGCAGGAGGCAGCTGATCGATGTTTCTCTCTCATCGATGTTTCTAACTCTCTCTCTCCCTTCCTCTCTGTAAAAAATCAATAAAATATATTTTTTTAAAAAGTTATTTTTTTCATTTTTTAATTTTTTTAAATAAGGATCAGTATTCTAAGAAACATTAAAAAAAAAAAATCCTGAAAAGAGGCTCCTGTCAGAATATAAAAGGGAGCAAATCAGAGAAGGAATAGGATCTGGAGAACAAACCCAATTAATGGAAGAAAATAATTTCACTAAAAATGGAGGACAGAAGGTGGAATCCTTTGGATGTCTTAGAGAGACACACTTCCATTTGTCCACAGGTCTATCATCTTTTAAGAGTTGCTACAATTTCAAAGATCCCAGTTACTCTGCTGTGATGAATTGAAACAAATTATATCAACTCCTCACTCTCCTGGGAATGGGGTCCTTTCCCCTCTTCTGTACTCAGGATTCTTTCTCTTGATCCAGTTAAGATACCAGCTTAGAAAACAGTGAGTCCTGCTTATAAGGGAAAAAAGTAGAATTTTGCCATGAAGTGGCTGTCTCATAATTGAATTCCCAACTCTGGGTCTTTGAGTAACATGTCTTAGAACATGTTTATTTGAGTGTTTGCACTGTGCCAGGCACTGTTGTGGACACGGGATACCCTGGAGAACAACATATGCAAAGTAATGGCCTCTAAGAGACTGCATCCAGGTGCTCTTCAGCAAAGAATCAGAAGTGACTTCAACTCAGACTTCATGCTCTTTACTTCTTGTCCTGCAAGTCTGCACATCCTATCATGGCAGTCAGCGTCTTTCTCACTGAAATTGTCAGTCAGGGTCCCGGAATGGACTTTCCTGAGGCCTGAGGACCAGGTGCGGAATTCACCTTTCAGAGGTTGGCATTGCAGGTAAATAAATGTTCATGGTATAGGCAATTTCAGATCGACCTCTTTAAGAAGAGCATACCAATTTGTATCGTCTACTGCTTTACCCCTCATTTTCTTTTATTATTATTATTTTTAAATATATTTTTATTCCAGAGAGAAAGGAAGAGGGTAAGAGAGATAGAAACATCAATGATGAGAGAGAATCATTGATTGGCTGCCTCCTGAATGCCTCACACTGGAGGTTGAGCCAGCAACCCAGGCATATACCCTTGACCGGAATCAAACCTAGGACCCTTCAGTCCGCAGGCCAATGCTCTATCCACTAAGCCAAACCGCCTAGGGCTCATAAAAATTATAGCTGTTATTAAGTATGCTGCTTGTCAGACATTAACTGTATATTTATTTAGTTCTCAAATGCTCTATTTCCATCTTCTTGTATTATAGGGAAACATTTGTACAGCAGGTCCTTGAATAATGTTTTGTTCAGGGTCCTTTATAACACTGAACTTAACTCTTGTTTATTTATATGAACCTGTGGTAAATAAAATCTGTTTCAGTAGATATTGTTTGGCTTAAAGTCACAACCTATCGATGCCGTTAATTGAGGACTTACTGTCTACAAGTCATCATTCTTTTTCTCCTTAGTACCTGTAGCCACATACTGCATACAGTTGTATGTGGCCAAAACTGAGAGCACTGAGATCAGGGTTTAGGGTTTTACTGGGGTCACTCTGCCTTGTATGGCTCAGTGATGGAAAACTAGAGTTGGGGGTGGTTGTATTAGCGGGCTAAGGCTGTCATAACAAAGTACTACAGACTGGGTCACTTAAAAGAAATTTATCCCTCACAGCTCTGAAGGCCTGAAGTTCAAGATCAAAGGTGTCATCAAGGTTGGTTTCTTCTGAGGCCTCTCTCGTTGGCTTGTAGATGGCCATCTTCTTTCTCTGTCTTCACATGATTGTCCCTTAATGTGTGTCTCTGTCCTAATCTCTTAGGAGGACACCAGATTGGATCAGGGCCCATCCTAACGACCTCATTTTAACTTAGTGACCTCTTTAAAGACCCTGTCTCCTACCAAAAAAAAAAAAAAAAAAAAAGGACCCTGTCTCCTAACACAGTCACATTCTAAGGTACTGGAAGTTATGACTTGCACATATGGATTTTGGGGAACACAATTCAGCCCATATTTGTCCGTGGTATTTGTCAATAAATGCCATTCAAGTTTGGAAATTTATATCGGGCTAATTACTGGAGCTCACACGTCATCAGTAAGCAGTGCTGTCTTTTCCAGGTTTGACTACAGGGGAGGGTGTGGTCAATATCTGGGGAGGCCCATGTGTGTCTGTGGTTGAGAGGCTGAAGCTATGGAGGCCCAAGACCCCTGTGCTGCTGGGACAGACCTGATGAATGTTACTTTCCCTTCAGTCTTTCAAGTAAGTCTAAGTTCATTATATATATATAATTGTATTTACTTAAATATATTTATATATCTATATATGTAGTACTATATATGTATAGTTTTACTTCCTGAATGATGGGGGTGATAGAGCTTTTGTTTTAATAAGGTGATTCCTTGATGGGGGCTGGTTACAAGAAAGACCAAGCTGTAATTAGAAGCTTGGAACTTTTTTAAAAATATATTTTTATTGATTTCAGAGAGGAAGGGAGAGGGAGAAAGAGAGAGAAACATCAATGATGGAGAGAATCGCTGATTGGCTGGCTCCTGCACGCCCCACACTGGGGACTGAGCCTGAAATCCGGGCATGTGCCCTGACCGGAATCGAACCATGACCTCCTGGTTCACAGGTCAACACTCAACCACTGAGCTCCGCCAGGCAGAAGTTTGGAACTTTCAACCTCATCTGCTATACTCTGGGGGAGGAAAAGGGCCTAGAGAATTAGTTCATAACCAGTTATTCATTTAAATATATGTATATATGTAATCATTTGACTCTTACCATATATATGAGATACATATAATAATAATAATCATTGGAATCTTTTCTTTAAAATGTATCCATGAATGAAGTAGGTAATTTTTTTAAAAAGTAAAGGCAACATATATGCATATACTTAATATTTATACATTATGTATATATTAGCAAACAAGGACGTTCCCTACTGTATTGCAGGTTCCCTCAGGGTTGATAATATGTGAGGAGGACTCTCAGCAAACTTGCTGTCTTCAAGGTTACATTTATTATAGAAAGGAAAGAGATTAAAATCAAAGGATAAAGGTGAAAGCACACCCCCAATGTGATTTAAGGTGAGGGCTATGGATCACATGGTATCATATGGAAATTGGAGGGGCTGGGGATTAAGGCACAGTGGTGTCCTACCGGAATCACATGATTGAGTCCCAGTAAAGACTGGACATCAGTTTCAGGTGGGCTTCCCCGGTTGGCAGAACTCCCCACCTACTGCCACACGCCTGTGTCGACCGAGAGAGGAACAAGGCCCATGACGCCCTTGGGGAGGACAGCTGGACGCTGCCCTTTATGCTTCTTCTCTGGGCTGATGCTAATCTCTAGCTTTGAGGTATTTTGGATAATTTCTAGTTCACTGATTATCCCTTTCAATACCTCTAATGTGCTTTTTAAAAATATATATTTTTTTATTGATTTCAGAAAAGAAGGGAGAGGGGGAGAAGGAGATAGAAACATCAATGAGGAGAGAGAATCATTGATCGGCTGCCTCCCGCACGCTCCACATGGGGGATTGAGCCTGCAACTTAGGCATGTGCCCTGACTGGTCATCGAACTGTAACTCCCTGGTTTATAGGTTGACGCTCAACCGCTGAGCCATGCCGGCCAGGCTAATGTGCTTTTTTTTTTTTTTTAAATATATTTTATTGATTTTTTACAGAGAGGAAGGGAGAGGGATAGAGAGTCAGAAACATCGATGAGAGAGAAACATCATCCTGCACGCCCCCTACTGGGGATGTGCCGGAAACCAAGGTACATGCCCTTGACCAGAATCGAACCTGGGACCCTTCAGTCCGCAGGCGAATGCTCTATCCACTGAGCCAAACGGGTCAGGGCTAGGCTAATGTGCTTTTAACACGCATGTGTATGCACCTGATTGTCTCTTTAGTTTCCTTTTCTTTAGACATACTAAAATATTTTATTCCCTACAACATTTTAAACCCACTTATTAAACATGTTGTATTTGAATAACTGTTGTCTCTGCCACCATTCTGATCCACCAAGCCTGGGAAGGCCCTTAATTAATTGTAATACTGTGTTTTATTAATCTTTATATCACCCACATATGTATCCTGTTTGGCCAATTGGTGCACATACACAGATATATGATTGATGGTTAGCTAGAGGATGTAATGGCTGTGCATTATAGAAATATCTAATTTGTTGAAGACTGGATTATAATAGAATATTCTAATAGTACTTTCCTTCATTCCTACAATTTTTTTTTACTTTTTAAACTGTTTGTACTGATGCAGCCTGTATGGTGAAAATAAGCAGAATGACTTCCTTTACATTCCTTCCGTATGTCAATAAAAGTGAAACACTTCCAATTAAACAGGACCGTGTTAATACGGGAATTGAAGATGTGGCTTTGGACTTCACCTGGGAGGAATGGCAGCTTCTGGACCCGATTAGGACCTGTGCAGGGACGTGACGTTGAGAACTACAGCCACCTGGTGTCAGTGGGTGAGGACAGCTCCCCTGTGTCACTCAGAGGGTCCCCGGTCAGTGGCCTTTCCTCCTAGCTGCTTCAGAGTCTCTGTAGTGCTCTCAAGTGATAGATTCTTGGACCCCTCTCTGGCTCCAGACAAGAGTATATCATGTTCCCTCTCCAAAGAGAAAAGCCTCCACTTTGCAGATGTGAAACTGTAGAATCTTTCAAATGTAGCATTTTCCCATCTTGACATCCTAGCCCAGTGATGGCGAACCTATGACACGCCTGTCAGAGGTGACACGCGAACTCATTTTTTTCTGGTTGATTTTTCTTTGTTAAATGGCATTTAAATATATAAAATCTCAAAAATATACGTCTTTGTTTTACTATGGTTGCAAATATCAAAAAATTTCTATATGTAACGTGGCACCAGAGTTAAGTTAGGGTTTTTCAAAATGCTGACACGCCGAGCTCAAAAGGTTCGCCATCACTGTCCTAGCCCAATGTCATGTGTTGGTCTTCTGTCATTTCCTATGAACAGGGTGTCAAGCCAGCAAACCAAACACATTCTTCAAGCTGGAATGAGGGGAAGAGCCCTGGACGATGGAAGACAAAACCCACAGTGGAACCTGTCCAGGTGAGAACCAACAAGACGGGCGGCCAGGGAAGGCATATGCTAGCTAGGCAGTCAGAGAAGGTGCCACATGTGAGAGTGAGGAAAGCTAAACAGCAGCTCCTCATATCCTTCTGGCCGCCGGAGATCTTTCTCTCTGGAGTTTAGAGGGAAATACACCCTTTTCTTCTCCTGAGATCTGATCCCATCTGGCCCCTGTTTATTTTATGTACATCTTGGATTTTTATTCTTTGACAAGTACTTTTTTTCTGTCAACTCATCTCTTTTGTTCATTGCCACCTGCCTCTTCCTATTTCTCCCACCTCCGTTGCTATGAAAGTCCACCTTCCAGGCCTCGTTCCAAACAGAGATCTTTGAGTTGAGCATAATCTTTCACTAGAGCATTTGGGAAATAGTGATTTCCCTTCCTACCATTCAACCCCATGTGGGATGCTATGCCCACACCATAACCTGATCTCTGGGTTTAGATGTTTCTTAGCATCTTGCTATAGACTAAATGTTTGTGTCCCCTGAATATTATATGTTAAAATCCTAACCTAGAGGTGATGGTTTTAGGAGGTGGGGCCTTTGAGAGGTGATTAGGTTATGAAGGCTCTCACCAGACACTGAATCTGCTGGTGCCTTGATCTTGGACTTCTCGGCCTCCAGAAATGTGGAAAATAAATTTCTGTTGTTTTGTGTTATGGCAGCCTGAACGAACTAAGACACTTGTCTTTGCCCCTCTCTGAAATTGTCCAAAGGTTCTGTTTTCCATTTCTTGCTCTGTTCTCATAATTCTTACATCTTTCCTCCATTCTAATAAGTTAAGCTATTATTCTTTATAAAGACTCCTAAATTCACATCTCCCTTATTGTTTTCTGATTTGCACACTTGTCCCATATATTTTACTGTCTCCACAGACACTCGTGACTGAATTCAGACTTTTTGTTCAAGGAATGAAAATCATCTTCCCTACAAGAAAATTTCTTCCACCTTTTTCTTTTTTTTAAAGTTTATGATCTTCTAACAATTTAGAAAGATGAATATTTAATAAAGTAGTTTAAGAATGAGCAGTTGTGCCCAACCGGTGTTGCTCAGTGGTTGAGTGTTGACCTAGAAATCAGGAGGTCACGTTGTTCGATTTCTGGTCAGGACACATGCCCGGGTTGCAGGCTCTATCCCCAGAAGGGGGCATGCAGGAGGCAGCTAATCAATAGTTCTCTCTCATCGTTGCTGTTTCTATCTCTCTCTTTCGCTCTCTCTAATCAATAAAAGTATTTTTTTTTAAAAAAACAAAGAACAGTTATGAAGTAGGGAGTTAAAGAGATGGTAAGGTTGAAAGACCCAAGAGAGTCTAATTCACCCGAAGTAGAACAAGAATGTCTCTCAAGAAAGATTTAGCTCTGAAACGTAAACATTATCTGCAGTTGTCATTTCATGAAGTAAGATATGAACTGAGGGACAGGTATATGATGATAGTGTTTTCTTTCTATACAGAGTGTGTGTGTTGAGAAACTCAATGTCTGTCTGAATACAAATGTACTGGGATTCTCAGGATAAGTAAAAGTATGATCTCCTTGGTTCAAATGGAGGAAAGTATGGGAAATAAAGGAGGTAAAATCCCCTTGGGATATATTGTAGAAGAACCTTATTTGTATTTTATTTGTTCACAGTCTTATCATTTTTAAGAGTTGCCATCATTTCAAAGATCCCATCTTCTCTGTGATGTGCTTCATTGGACATGTGACTTTCCTATCTTTTTTTTCATTCCTTCTTACTCCGCTGCTCTACCCAGTCATTCCCTTGATCCAATAAAGATGCCCTGCTAAAACACCTTGAGTCCTGTTTAGAGAACGAGAAATAAGAAATTTCAAGAAATAGGAAAATTCAGTCGCTGTCTTGTATTTACATCACAAGCCCAGGATTATTGGGTCAATTCACTCAAATATTTTAATCACCTGAATTTAGCCATCGCAATACTTATTTTATTCTGGGATGCAATCGTTAGGTAACTGAGAACAGGTGAATTTCACGACTGATTTGTGTTTTACAAGAATCACCTTGTAAAGGTGAGGTAGGATAGGCCAAGGGCATAAGCCAAGGACAGTTCTAGCATCTCACTTCAGAAACTGAACCATCAGAGCACTATTGATGGAGGAGTCAGAAGATGCAACTGACTTCCTGCTTTGACCTGTGGCTCCATTACTTTATCAGGAACATGTTGCAAATCATAAGGGCCTATGGGGTTGAACATAATGTGAGCAAGGAGATGAACTTGATGGCGGTGCCACAGCCCGCCTTCTCAGGATCTCCAGTGCCTCCTGGTGAGGGAGAGTATTCTAGCTCAGAGCTGCAGCCACTAGAAATGGGAGCTGAAGCAGGGCTAGAAATGGGTAGCAGGCCTGCAAATGGCTGGCCAAGACCTCTTGCTGAGGTGATACAGGTGCATAGGACTGTGGGAGATTCAGTTCTTTGAGGTCGTTTTATTTTTTGCATGTTCCTAGAAGTTCCACTTGCAATATCCAAAAAACAACCACCTGGAAGCAACCTAAAAGTCCCACTGATAAACGGTTAAACACAGTTTGGACTACCCGTACAGTGGAATATTGAGCAACCAGAGGAACAAACTTATGGATACTTCAAAAACAATTATGTTGCCCTAACCGGTTTGGCTCAGTGGATGGAGCCTCGGCCTATGGACTGAAGGGTCTGGGGTTTGATTCCAGTCAGAGGCCTGTACCTGGGTTGCAGGCACATCCCCAGTAGGGGGTGTGCAGGAGGCAGCTGATCGATGCTTCTCTCTCATCGATGTTTCTAACTCTCCCTCTCCCTTCCTCTCCGTAAAAATTCAATTAAAAAATTATGTCGTGTGCTGAGGGATAGGGGAGGATAGGGGACTGTCTTGGGCGGGGGGGGAAAAATGGACACATATGTAATACCCTTTGTAATAAAAAAAAAATTAAAAAAAATAAATAAATAAAAAATTATGTCGTGTGAAAGAAGGCAGATAAAAAGCGTTCATACAGTAAGAGTCTGTTCATAAAATACAGACTAATCTGTGGTGACAAGGCATTTGGGTGCCTGCTTAGGATGTATGGAGCATGTTTTGTGCTCGGGCGGTTAGAATGAGCTGGAAAGAGCCTCTACGTCCTTGGTTTTTGGTTTCTGCTCACGTTGTGATCGCTGTCCCCCTGACCGCCTCACCGCACCTGGTTCCTTCTCTACATGCAACGCCACCTACCGGGTGCGCGCTGAGCCCCGAGGCCCTTCGCTCTGTACGGACACCGCACTCCCCCAAGATGGCCGCGCCCACAGCGCTCTTGCCTTCCGGCGCCAACCCCACGCGGTTTTAGCGCCCCGCCTGCTTTTTCGTCAAACGAGCTTACGTTTTTATGCGACCTCGGAATCTCTTCGCAATTAGGCTAGTGGCTGAGGTGTCCAGAAATTATTTTCCTTTTCTACCGAGCTGAGGCGTAACGGCCGCTCGGAATGTACGCGGGGCCCTTTAGGTCCTGATGGGCTCCGGCCTTTAAAAATAGGCTTCGTTCACTGTCCCCTCCAACAAATGAATTTATCGCCACGTCACGGGCCTTCTGTGACCTCAGGCCTCCGAAAACTTCTCCACATTCCTATCAGGGCTGACGGGCCGGTCGCTGAGCAAAAGCCTTCTGTACGTCAGGTGTGCCAAGATGGCGGCCCCCAGGGTGCCGAGGCGACGGCGGCGCGTGTACATTACGTCACAAGGGAACGCCAGGAACCCGTATTCCGTTCTCCATAGAAACGCAGCAGAAACCCCTCGCGCCTTCGCCGAACATTCAGGAGCGGAGGCCAGAAGGGAGAAGTTTAGGGAAGTGAGTGAGGCCTCCAGAGGACGCTGCGGGCCCCGGAGGGAGTCCGATCCGGGCGTGGGTGTGTCCGTCGGCTGCTGGGTGGGTGGCAGCCCCTGTGAGTCGGTGAAGGTAGCGCCGCGCGGGGAGCACCGAGGGATCTCCTGGGTGTCTGTGAACGGGGTGTCTTTGGGGTCAGTCGTGGGGGTGGAGGTGGGGTGGGGGGTCGTCGCTGGTGGTCAGATCAACGACCGAGAGGTCAGGGCTCAGGGTCTTCGTGGGCCACTGTCTGCAGGTGATTGACAGCTCGGCGAGCTCTAGAGTTTGTCAATGACACGGCGTTGCGTCTGGGTCAGGCTCTGTAGTTGA